GGCTGACAGTGACCTGCAAGCCTTGTACTGCAAATACAAGATAAGGAACATTTTGTTTTCACTCACATGGGAGGCCAAAAGGCATGAAGTACATTTTTATAATTTGATCTGCAATTTCCTTATAAAAAATGTTGCTTTCAAGCACGAGTACAGACTGTGAGTTTAGAAACTGTAGGAATGCCAAAAAATATCAGAACGAACAGTTCTGTATTTGTAAAAGTCTTGCACTGCTTTTTTATTTCATTTTTAGTCCAGTAGTAGACCATTTCTAGATTTTTATTTGGTTATTCAATTAAAAGGGCTTACAGACTTCAGGAATGAACTTGTGATTTTATATTTTATATTGTTTTACAAACAAACAAAAAAACATTTTAAATGCATCTTTGGTCACAACAGACTGTCACAAAGACTCAATTTATTCTTTTATTTTTTATTGAATGTATGAAAAATGCTTGATTTAAAAGACAAGCAGACAGAAAACAGCTTTAGAAGACAGTTGAAGGGCTGAAATGTCTTGTTTTGTCCTCCACTTGTGAAATTTCCTCAACAATTTTCAGCACATGTTGCACAAACTGTTGCTTTCCAAGCCTTATTTGATTCTGTTCAGTTAAATTCAGCTCAGTTACTGTTAGTAAAATATTATTTAATTGAAATAAATTAATTTCAGTTCAGTACAAAAATTACAAATCGTTTTTGTAATCAAATACATAAATGTTTTGTAATTGCTTCAAATCATTTTAAACCAATTACAACTACCTGCATTTTTGAAGGTTTCATGGACACAATTTACTAAAAGGAGCTGCAGGCTGAAAAAGATGTAGAAACATTTATTTCATTTTTAGTTGATGAGAAACAAAATACAAGCAACATGTCAAAAAAAAATCTAATGAATTTAATTTAAATAATTAGCACTATATAATAAATTTGAACAGTTTTATCCATAGGTATTCATGCTTAATTTCTAAAATGTATCTGCACTGGAAACAGAACACATATTGTAAGAACAGTTTTTTGTAAACTTGTGTACATTAATTAATACCAACCCAATCCTGAAAATAAGTTCCTCCTCTCAGGACAACTTAATTAAGTTTATTTCACAAAGAAATAAAAAAACTTGCTCCATAAACTGTAATTTCCAATCACTATGACAGAGAGTCTCCGTTCACAGACTGATATTGAAAAACTGATATATGCTTCCCTCTGGTGGTCAAATCAGAACACAGCAAGCTGTGTTCTTCAGACATTGAATATGTATCATGTTTACTTTTAAAAACTTTTTAAAGATTTTAGGAGATGAAATTTACCAGAATCACTGAAAGCTGCACTAATTTTCTCTTAACTTGTCATTTACAATTACTTTATTTAATCTCAGAGACCAATAAATAAAACAAGTCTTGCATAAATGTGAACTTCATTTGAGATTTGCAAAAGGTCCATACAACTATTTATGTAATGATGTCACTGCTTTTACTAGCTGGCCGACTTAAATCAGGACAGGAAGGAAGCGAAATGGCAGGCGAAACAGAAAATTTATATTCAAGAGAACAGAAGGTGCTGGGTGAAAGACTGCAGAGAGAGGCAGAAAAAAAGAGTTTTAGTCAAGAATAAGACAGAGGTAACTCCATCAACAACGCCTTCAGAGCCAAAAGCACTGGCTGACCCCAGAAAACACACAAACACTCACAAACAGAATCCGTTTCCCCTTCACTTCATGAACAGAGGATGTGGTAAATAAAGTTCCTTTTCAGGCCTGATGATGAAAACCATGCCGATCACACAACCACGCGAAAACGTGATCACAAGTGAGAAGATTCCCAGAAAAAGCAACATGTTGGGTTTTCAAGTGTCGTAATTTGTGATGAAATGACACCTAAACTGAGAAAAACAAACAAAAACACAAAACACCCACATTGTGACCTTTTCACAAGATTTGTTAAAAACAACAAAGCAAATCAAAAAACAGGAAATTTGACTTTGGTTCTACTTTTTCCCCAATGTACAGATATTTTAAAACTAAATATATGTTTCTAAAATGGGGGAATATACGGTTTTGTATATTCTACATAAATATAATGGCTTTACAGAAGAAGAAAACAAGTTTGAATAAGTGCTTATATGCATGGCAGTGATCATCGGACTCTTAGGACTGTTTCTTTTGTAACCTGAAGATAAAAGTCTAAGTGGCTTGAGTCCAGGATGTGTGGGGTCTGCAGGTTAACTGCCCTTTTCCTGATATTTGCTTGAACGTGGAAGGACAATGAAAGTCAGAGAGGATCAGCCATGATGATCCTCTCTGCATTGACGGACAAACAGAGGATAGGAATGATGGCTCTGTAGAAGACGAGAGAGACAGTTCATGCTGAAGAGTTTTAAATAAAAACAATTAATCCAGTTACTTGTCACTTAAAATGTTCTATGGAAGTTAAAAATGATCTGTAACAAGAGAAAACTTCCTTTTGCAATCGTTCCTTTTGAATGCCACAAGACAAGCTAAGGGGAGTAAAAAATCCAGACTACCTTGTGTGTTGTGAGTCATTGTGAATTCTGCGGAAATGAACCGCAAGAGAAAGAAAACTGAAACTTGGCTGGTTTAGGTGCGTATGTTTCTCAGGTGTACCGAGCTCTGCGACCGCAGCGATTCTGTCTCGCAAAAATGAATGAAAAATGAAAAAAGGCTCCACTCCGGTGCTCTCCACTGACCCTCCTTTCCTTATTTCCTTACTGTAATGCCCAGCGCGCGTTGCACGATCTGATGTCGCGGATTGTCGACCCATTATCAAAACCCGAGAGACACATTAGCCGACAGAAAGCCTAGCTATAACGGTTCGATCGAAACCGTCTTGCGTCCAACAATGGACACAAAATAATAAGTCAAGTTCACTAACTTTGAAACCAGGTATTAATCAATTCCTTACTACAATCTACCTGCAATGCATGTGGCGAATGTCAGTCTGACTGAATGAAAATCATTATAACCTATTTATGTCACGTTAACAAAGAACAGCTGAAAAGTTACCGGGTTTTCTGGTAGAAATTTCGCTCCAACTCCTCCCCTAGTTATTTATATTTTCTTTGCTCGAACTGTTGAATAAACATTCATGTTGTTTCCGATGTCTGCTGGACTTCGGGTTGCACCGTGTCAGCTGTTCGGGATTCCCTCCGTGTTTCCCCTCAGAAAGCACGAGGAGAATCCGCGCTTTCTGATTGGCTACCGGTCACATTCAACAGGCTGCGTCACTCTCCCAGTCTGGGCAAATCTTTGATTTAGATAGGAGCGGCCATAACGATGTACCGTAATGACAATCTAAGAACGTTCTTCGTTCTAAGATTGTCGTTCGGGGTAAAATAAATCCTGTAGTTTGAACTTTTGCATCAGGCAGTCGGATTCTTCTCTATTTAAATCTAATGATTACTGAAGGGCAATATACTATACAGACTTCATAATCTGCACTCTTTTGGTTGAATGCAGTGTTTATTTCCACTTTGGCTTCATGTTGTTTAGTTTTTATTCAAGTACATTTATTGTCAATTGAGACTAAGAATCTATTTTATTTTTTGGTTTTGGTTGTTTTATTTATTTTGTGCATCAGTCCCAGTGTTAAGTGTTCTTTTGAAAGTAAAGTGTATGAATCTGTGGCAGGAAATTGCATGTATTATTATGTAATTTCCATTAAATCAATGTAAAAAGGTCTTCAAACAATATTATCGTTTATCGCAATAATTTTTGAGACAATATATCGCCCAGCAAAATCTGTTATCGTGACAGGCCTAGGCAGCATCATGCTGCAGCTGGATGGAGTGGAAACACAGGATAACTGTGTGTCAGTGGTTCAGCTTCCATCAAGGCAATAATTCTAAACTAAATCAAAAATGAAACGGTTTAAATCAAAGCGCTACAGTGGCCTAGTCAAAGTCCATGCCTAAATTCATCTGGGAATCTGCTGCAAGACTTTATAAATGATGCTCAGACACTCCATTTTACTTTAAATATGAATGTAACAAAAGGCATCAGGGCTTAGAAAGAAATGCATTTGTGCAAATTATTATATATAGATTTTATTCATTAAAAATGTTGAGATACATTTATCACGTTCCTTCTAATCCACAGCTGAATTACTTTTTATTGGTCTATCACTTGACTCCCTCATTGCGTGTCTGAGCAGTATAGAAATGAAACATCTTTTAATGGTTTACCACGAGAACTGAAACACTTTCCACTTCCTGCACCTCTTGGTAAAACCAGCCCAGAGTACTGTCGGTTCTGAGTGGTCTAATGATACAGAATGTGGAGCTCAGCCATGCTTATCCTGCACTTTGAACCATGCCGTGTCACAGAAGCCCTTCATTTGGCCGGTGCTCCTCATCTGCTCCCCTCTTTTCTTTGAAATAGTGCTTTGTCACCCTGTCCTGGTGCAGGAGGAGGACTTGTATTCACCTCACGGCCGACCCTCCTTTATGTGCTGGAGCCTCACAGGACGCTCCGTACAGATGCTCTTGGACACAGCAAGCGCCGGCCACAGAAAGGGTGAATGGGGGGCTCTGTGGGCTGCCTAAAAGGGGTTTTGTGGTTCCATCTTTGTGCATGAGCGGAAGTGTGTGTGTGTGTGCAGGGTTTTTTGTTGGGGGGTTGTGTGTTGGCCTGCGCACATGGAACATCCAAAACATGTCCTTCTTTGCATGTGTGCAGGAAGTTTCAAGCAAACATCCTAACACTTCGAAGGTAAAATATAATTCTATGCATTCCTATAAAATGCAAATTAAGTCCACAGGTCCACGAGTCATTCTTCCCTGACAATGATGTACAGTATGAATGGGCAGTACAGTACATTTGATATCGTTGGGGTGAATTGGCCCACCAGGGAACGATGATCAGTTATTGCAGCAATTACACAGGACATAATCCGTTCACAACAGGAATTCAGGGTGAGGGAGAGAGGGAAAGGAAAGAGGGAAACCGAGAGAGGGAGGCCTTTTATAAAAGCCAAGTCCTGCCACTTTGGGAAGAAATTGCGGGCAGTGAGTCGGCGGGCTTCGGGTGCGAAACGGGAGCCCAAACGAGCCAATGAGGGGCCCCATAATTCTGCTCAAGTGGTGTACAGTATCGTGGGACTGCAGAATTACAGTGTGTCCTGTGAGCATGCGTATGACAACAGAGAAGACATGTAGAGCAAAAGGCTGAGGCTCTGGGCTCCAAAATCCTCTCTGCACGTGACAATTAGCTTACAGTCTGCTCTGAAAAGGTAAGAAAATTCATTTATCAGCAAAAGTGAAGTAATAAATCAAGAGTCGGCGGAGAAATCAAACTTATGTGATTCCCATTTTTTGCAGGTGATAATATTATCTCAACATCTAACTTGCTCCTTTTATTTGATTCTATTAGAGTAATTTAATATGCTTACTATACTCTATATATGTATATTTAAAAAACTTATGTTTATGTACATTTGAAACATTATGAAGCTGAATCCAAATTTATTTGATATTCAATAAAAAGTGATACAATTGCCACATTTTTAGAATTTATATGATATTTTTGCAGGAATTTGATGCAAAAACAGGACAATAAGTGGCATTATAAGGAATAAATTGGATAATAAAACAGAAAATAGACACTGTTTTCTTTACAAAGGCTGAATTGTCCAAAGCTCATGCTTTGGTTTCAGCACTAAGCAGTGAACTGAGCCAAGTTGAAAATGTTCCTCCGCTGTATTCGGGTTCAGAGAGTCGGCAGCTTGGAATAAGAAACTTCCCCATAAAACACATCAGAACCATTAGACACCAAAATAGAATTGAAATAAATATTTTAAAGATAAATCTGTACCAAAAAAAACAAAACTTTCTTCAAAAACTGAGAAATGTAATTGAAACTCACAGCATAACAGCTAAACTTAATCACTTTTTGCACTTGCTGAAATTGATTAAAAACTTAATAGAGAAACTTTTATTGACTAATTAATAGAGTAGTTGTGGTGTGAGTTTTAACTATTCTTCCACACAAAATGTTTAAAGTTTATAGCGAACATCTTCTAAAGAATCTGATCGTTAACACTTTTCATAAATTTTCCACCGGATTTAACTCTGGTGACTCATCGTCTCATTACAGCAGCTTCGTTTTCTTTCTCTAAACTCAATAGAGTTTCAATGATTTTGTTTTTGGGGGTCATTGTCTTAATGAAACAAACAAACAAACAAAAAACTGTTTGTTTTGGGACATTTCTGCATTCAACCATTCTACATTATAACAACAACAAAACTGCTCTGCATCAAGATTTTCCCATCTTCAGACTTCGCTGTAGGAATCCAGGTTTCATGCAGGAGCATTTCTGATCCGATCGGGTCCTATCAGTGGAATCCAAACAGTTCATTTATTATATTTTCTACCAGCATTTCATTGGCTTGTCAAAATATTCTGAAGCAAACTTTTAATTATTTTCAAAATTCTTTTCCTTCAGCAGTGGAGACTTGTGCAGAGAGCATTCATCAAATCCATGTAATTCCAGGTTTTTCTGAAGCTCTCTGCAGGCGGTTCTTTGCTCTTCTAGTATTCTTGTTAGTCCTTTTCTAAAGATTCTTTCATCATCTGATTTATAATGAAATTATGTTGTTTCTTTCCTGATTAAAGCTCCAACTTGTGTTGACAGTAATAATTAGTAGATTAGGTATCTGTAGTCAAAGTTATCAGTATGTTTTCCAACAATAATGTAACAAAAATTTTAGATGAGTTTTTTGCATAAAATGCTAATGGTGTGTTACCTTGGTGAGAAGTAACCTCTGTATAACTCTAATAGAGTTGATATTGATCTGAGCAGATAAAAAGCATGTTTACTCAGTACTTAACGCCTGTCTCATTGAGCAGTTAATTTGTTATGATCTCTGAGTATTTGTACATTTCCTTGGTTGTAACATCCGGTGTGAATTTAATCTCTGTAGCCACATGATAAACATGTTTACTGGTTGTTTTGCATGTGATTCACAAGAAGTGGGAGGGTGTACATCTAAAAGGGATGGAAAGGTGCTTAATATTTATTTTTGCAAAGTTTTAAATTGGAGAGAATTTGATAAATTATGAAGCTCATGTAATGCAGAGTTCACGTGAGTCAGGGAAAGTAAAGGTGAGAGGAAAACAAGCTGTTGTGGAAATGAAAGAAACATGCCCGGGTGTGTGAGTGCATCCAAAAGCGAGAAGGGGGGGAAAAAGAGAAGAGGAGGAGGATTACTTCTCAGCTCAGAATATTAATGAGGGCTTTTGTCACAGATCTTTTTACTCTTTCTTTCCCTCTATAATGTTCTCTCACTCCATCTTTCATGCATGCATCTTTAAAAATTCCTCACATTAACCTTCAGTCACGTCCTTCACCATCCCAAAACAAAAATGTCAGATTTTCCACCTCAGAATCGAGGTAAAAACGCCTTCAGTTAGACAAAAACAAAAATATTTCTGCAAGAAAAGACATTCTTACTGTAACAAAACATATGCAAAAGAAAAAAAACAATTAATGCGTGCAACTGCTTTCCCTCTCACACACGTCCACACAAACGTAGATGGACACAAAGTCGTTTCTGTGAATGGCATCTTTTGTTTCTTTTATCTCAGTTCCCAACAAAGCATTCCTGTGTACACAGAGGAGAGAGACAGGGAGAGAGAGGGAGAGGAAACGAACGAGAGAGAAAGAGGAGAGTTTGATAAAAGAAAGAAAGGAAAAGAGGAGGGCAGGAAGATCAGGAAAAACATCCAGCATTCCATTATCTGGCCCAAAGAAGAAAGTTTTATGTCAGTTTTGATTTTTTAAAAGTTTTTCATTCAGAGCAGAGTTGTGCATTAGCATTGCCATGGAAAACGGATACAGCCAGCGGGAAAGGTTGATCCCATTTGCTTCCATTAGCTCCATCAGTTATCTGATACACGGCCCAGGTGAATTTTGCTTTTCCTCCACGAACACGTGAGTGCCGCGCTGAGTTCGGGCGACAAGCTGGGCGAGGGCGAGTCACAGTTGACAGAGCGAGACACTTTCAATGGTGTCATTGTAATTACAAAGCTCACTCTTGCATAATCACAGCAAAGCAACGTAATTAAAAGCAACTGGTTATGTAAGCCAAGCTCGGGATTGCAAATGCACACTTTCATGAAGTGTGTGGTCGTCCTCGCTCTTTTCTGGGAAATTACTTTACGTTGGAGCATGAACACACAAGCACAAACACTTGCTGAGGAAAATTACAAGCCGCCGTACTTATTTTTATATTTTATTTGTAGCTTGTTTTAACCTCTCCACACTAGCATAAGCTATCAAAAAAAAAAAAAAAGTCCCAGAGTTGGGAATATAACAACAAACAGAAAAACACTTGGTTTTTATCGTAGGTTAGGAAATTTAACAGCATAAATATTTTTCAGTAGCCAAATCAATCTACGCGTCATGCCATATTTGTAGCCCAAGGAAGCAAAAATCTGGGATTAATAATTTAGATTGAGCATCATAAAGCTATAAAATTAAACAAAATAATGGGTTTGGTGTACAGAGGTCACGTCTATTTTTATATGAGCAAAGTGCAGCAGGGACAGCTGCTGCTAACTTCCCCTAAATGTTGATTTTGAGGAGTTTGCATAAAAATATGTAAAATGAATCAAATAGAAACAGATTTTAAACAAATTTCAACAGACCTCTAGGCTAACGTCTTCAAAGAGTTTACTTTCTATTTTCAATACTTTACGTCTAATTTTTCATTTTCTTATCTTTCTCAGTTTTAATGTGTTGCTTACCATAAGATTAAAAAGTGCCATCAGTTTTGGGAAAACACCTTTTATCGCCTTTAAATAGAACTCACCACAACGGAAATGTTCTGTTCAAAATCCAGGTTTTTGAACATTGCACTGTTTCCATAACCCACAAAAACACCCGACAGAAACATCCCACTCACATGAAAAAGCAATTTGGTCTTTAACATTTCACAGTGAAACAGTGTTCAGAGATATAATTGTTAAATTTGACTAAAAGCACTGAGACCAAACAAAAACTAACTGACAATGCTAATCATCATTTGCATGAGAAAATTTCAGAGACCTTGTAGTCTAAAAGTTCAGAAAAAGTTTAAGACTTCTCACTTTTAGTGCTATCTCGAGTTTCTATTAAGGAATCAACTCTTTGTCCAACTAAATGTCTCCAACTAGAGTAAACAGAAAGCTTCTTAAAAACAAACCTTATCTAGGTAAAAGTCCTAGTTTTGCACCTTAAGTGACGCGTTCAGTTGTCTCTTCTCTCCTCGGAGTTACAAATGAGTCTCTGTGTGGGCGCTTTGTTGGGCTAATGCATCTTATTCTGCTCCTTTCTCTTTTCTTTCCTTCTCATCATCTTACTCCCCTGTGGTTTCCTCTTCTTTGGCCTCTGGTGACTGTTGAATGCAGCTGAATCTGCTGAAATGTGTGGAGGAAACAGTAACAGCCTGTGGGTGGCAGGATTACAATCTTGACTTTATAAGAATGAACACCACTGGCAACATAATACACTCCTGTGACTTGAGTGGATTTGCTTTTGAATGATTTGCAAGATGCAGATCTTAAATAACGTAATGCTCAAATATTCACAGTAAACAAATTATGATTAATAGTTAGAACAAGCAAAATCTTCATTAATTTCAATATAGTAAAAGTTTTCTTCGAACAACAGTTGATGCAACTACTTGACTAAATTCTAAGTTCATCCTGATTGAAGTTAAATCTTTCTTGCATGAACCAAGTTCTGATTATAAAGAAATATAAACTGATTTTTTCCAGCAAACACATTGTGAAACCTAAATAGAAATAAATATGATGAGCCAAACTAAGCAAATCGTAATCATGCTGTTTTGGACATGCCCTAAACACTTTTGATCATTTAAATGATTTTTTTTCTTACTTAATGTCTCTTAATGCTTAAGTTTTTCAAGAATAACACACCTGTTGCTTCTTTTGTTTGATTTAATTTGTTGCAGTAGCAACATGAGACCAGCAGCTCTTACATTTTTACATAAAAACACATTTAAACCACTGTTACAGAATTCACACAATTACTGACTTCATGTTATCTATTTAGCATCAATTCATAATAAAGGTTATTTGTTTTTTACAGTTATTTATATATTACAACAATGTCGGCACTAATAGCGATTTGCTCACCTCAGGATGCTCGAAGCATAAAACTGGCATTATATTTTCTGTGTAATTCAGCTAACAATAAAGAGACCACTTGGCGGCACTCAGAGGACTGCAGTTTCATTCATACATGGTCAATTTATCCTTAACATGATATTACAGCATCGTTCCCCGGGGGGCCAATTCACCTCAACATTTCTGTCCTACACATTTATTGCTGTGTGTGGGCTCTAAAAACAAGTGATTTACCGTCTGTGGGGTGAAGCTCTACTTAAGAGGGAGTATGTGGTTTTACTAAGGAACTGTGCAAGAGGAAGATAGACAGGTGGAGGATGAGGATACCAGAAGAAATACCGTTTTTATTTGTGATTAAATAGAAAAGTGTGAGCTCCACATCCAAATTGAATTGTGACCTTGCTCAGGCTGAATCACACAGATACAGAAACTGTATGAAAAATAAAACAGCTTTTATAATACTTAATATATTTAATTTAGTCTAAGGTAGCATATATGTGTTGTTATGTTAATGAAGATAACTACAGACAGCTTTTATAAGCATGGCTTATGTGATGCAATAAATGAAAAACATTAAATTTCCAAAGTTACAAATGTATTTCTGCTAGATTATCAAGCAGTTTTATCAACTCAAGAGGAAATATGTCGGTGAAAAGCTATTCACTAGTACAGTTAAAGAAAACAAAGTTATTTTAAAAAGACAGGAATAAATCAACAGCAAATAACTTTAATAAAATTATTTGCCCCCCTCTCCCCCCGTCTCATTTGCCCCTCATTCATCTATTAATCTCAACTCTTGAGGCGCTCCTTACTTTTAAACTTTACAGAAACTTCAGAAAAGGTGTTCAAAGCACAAAACTAAGCGGAAATGAGTCATCAATGATAAATAGGCCAAGTTACAACAATCTAGGTCTTTGATGACAATGAAAGATAAAAAACAAGGCCTCTACAAATGAGCATCCAGATATCTGATGTTACTTTCTTTTGTTTTGAACCTCCATGCAGCTGTAAATCTTTATCTTCCTTAGCAGTTTTTGGACTGAGGAGGGAACCTGGAGTACCCGGGAAGAACCCACACATGCACAAGACTTACATTAATGTAGACAGTGATACATAACGTCTACATCAGTAGATAAATTACTTATTTAAACATTTTGACAGTTTTATTAATCACTAGTTGTCCATTTCAAAAATGATTTTAACGTGTGAAGGTCTTGTGTAGTTGACAGGATACTTGCATGGCTTTATTTGAACTTCTACTAGTTAAACAGAAGGTGGCAATGTTGAAATAAAACACTTGAGTCTGAAGATTAAATTATCTGCAGAGCATACACTAACAGCCACACCCATGCAAGAGAATGGCTTTTAAACTGTTCACTGATTATAATACAGGACAAGGTGAAATATTCTGTAGCTGTGATTAAAATATTACATCTTAACAAGCATCGTAGATGTTTTTCTTTGCACATTTTTCTGTTTAATTTTACTTTTAATTTTACTTTTAATTTTTCTAATTTCCTCTGAACACCGTATTCAGAGGGTTTATGTTATGTAAAAGCAATGGATTTTCATAGTTTTAACATGCTAGTAGAAATAAACCTCTTTAAATGTGAACTCCAGGTTTCTTCTTCTGCAAATATTGCAGAATTAAGTCTTGACTATATGTCAGTTTTTCTGCTTGTTTACCTCGACTGTGTGGTTTTGGTTTGCTAATATGTTTGTGGTCGTCAACAGAAGCACACAATTTGCATATCGAGAAAATGACTCACTGTCATGAATCCTACATATTCACACTAAAGGTGAATTTACTTTTCAAACTTGTAGCTTTTTCACCTCAAATTGGTCTTGAATTTTGCAGAAAGATTAACAGAAGAGTTCAACCTATTACATTTGTGTTTGCATAGAATGAGTACATGGGTAAATTTTGCAAAATAAGCAGGACGAGAGCTTCTTCCTGTGATGGTATCATTTGATTGTGGCTACAGATATCAAATTCAGAAGAAAAACAGCTTTTTTCCCATGACAGCTTAAACCTCAGAAAAAGTTTAGGTAATTTCCAAATCTAACTTTTGGCTTCAAGATAAATGTGATACTTCCCCGACTTTAAAACAAAATAAAATCAAAACAACAAAAAAAATACAATTTGAATAATGTGTTCTGGTAATTTCAGGTAGTGCTGCGCATGAGACGGATATATTTCATTTTGAGGAAGAATTTCTCTGAAGGAAGTTAGATAATATTAAACGTTTACTGTTAAACTTCCACTGAAGTTTAACAGTAAACCAGCTTTTTTTTTTTTTTTAATCAGAGAAGCGTGTCTACTCATGTGTCATATTTCTGCTGGTGTTATTAAAGTTGGCCGTAGAGATGAAATATATCACGACTCAACTTCCTTTTTCCATTGTTTGTTTTTCATAGATGACTTCTGCTACCCCGCCTTGCTCTCGCAGCTCTTCCCCTCAAAAGGTTTGCCACTCTCAGACCCAAACTGACGTTCTGAAGCCGTTGCTGGGCGGTGGTGCTTCTGGTGGAGGTGGGACTGTGAGGAAGAGGAGGCGCATTCTGTCCAAAGATGGCCGAAGCAACATGCGCATAGAGCACGTCAGTGGGAGGAACGCCCTCTACATGCGTGACCTCTGGACAACTTTTCTTGAAATGCCATGGCGCTACAAGTTCTTCCTGTTTACAGCAACGTTTGCAGGGACCTGGTTTGTGTTTGGGGTTGTGTGGTACCTCGTCGCTTTGGTGCATGGAGACCTACTGGGTGAGAGAGCAGAGGTTTTATTTAAAAAAGTACCTCTTTAACACTCCCCCCTCAGAGTTTCCATATCTATTCCGTCTGAGGGAGGGATTTTGAAATAAACTGACATCAGGGTTTATCCCACAGTTTCACCCCAATGTGTCGGAAACTTCACTGAAGTTTTCCTGTCTTTTCTTTTTTTTTATTTATGAAGAAACAGTTTTACTTCCCAGTTTAAGTGTGAATAAAGTCCAATTCTCTAGAAACTTTCAGCACTGACAGGGTGTCATTACGAGTTTCATAATGAGTCAACAAAAGATTGCAACTGAAGAAAAGGATTTATCAAAACAAGATCTAAAGCTTATGGACAGACAAATGCAAGCATCTTAAAGAGACAGTAAACACACACATATATATATCAAAGTAAAAAAAGTTAGCAAAATAACTTTTTCCATCAGCAAAAAGGTTAGCTAGTTGAAAAAGTTTATATATAGATGTTTAGTTATACAAGTTTCTATTTTTTAATGATAAAGCTATTTCTTAGTTATTGTTAATCACAGTTCCAATTGTCACTCAAATATGCAGTAATCGGGCTCCAGAATCAGAGCACCTTTCAGTCGGAGTCTTGGCCCAACTGAATGGTTTAGTTGTCATTGTTGCCTCCCTTCACTGATTGTCAGTGTTGCTGAAGTTCAGATTGGCTTAGCCTCTTCATGACCTCGATTTGCTTTGTGGTTTAGCTGATATGTTCGTATGTTTTTGCTGGGAAACCCTTACGTGACACATTTTCACTGTTTTGCCTCGGGGTAGAAGGTTCTCATGCAAGATTTTTAGGGTATGCGGTCCCAACATTTGAAGTTGAATTGTACTTTTAGTAACCAAAACAGGCCTAAAATATAATAGGGATGATCGTTTTAGATTTGGTTTATATATTCATATGACTTTTGGTTTTTATTGAACCAGTTAGGTTGCCAAGTTTTGAAACAGGCAGAACTGGACAGAATAAAATCTCATTATATGAATGATTTTGTGCAAAGAATGTGATGAACATGTTTGGATAGCAAATACATCTATCCTCATAGCAGAATAGGTTCCTTTGAGAATTTAAGAAGAGGAGTTTTTGCTGAGTTAAGACCAGAGCCGCACACGTCTATGAACAAATACGAGGAAGGGTGTGGTGAAGAGAAAGAATGAAGCTGCCTCGTCTTCAGTAGTTCTCATCAGAGAGAGGAACTGAAACCCAGGTAGAAATATTTAAATTTATCTTTCTCAGTCAAATATAAAGTCATTTCATATCATGACCAAAACCAAACACTTTTGACCTATGATCTAAAATCCCCTGATATGATAGTTCACTAAACAGGAACATGGTTATAGCTTGCAGAAAATTCCCATTAAATTTATGCGCCAATGATTTAATTATTTCTTGATGGGAAAAGATGATTGTACTTCAGTGAAACAATAACTCACCACCCTGATTCAAATCTCTTAAAACCTCCCTTATGTTATGAATAATGGAGAATCAGGTGCTCAAGTTGTAACCAACCATAGAGTCAAAAAGCGTTTTGACACAAATACACTGGTTTCAGTGTCAGAGCTATTTTTTCCTGTTTAAACCTCACTGGTTTTGCAGCAGTTTGTTCTACAGCTCAGCAAAATGTGGGACAAAATAAGGTGAACAAAGCTGAGAACATTGTTTGCAGGATTGTAGACTAGAGAGAGGTGAGAAAATTCAAATATGAAAAGGTGCGAAAGTTAGTGAGAACTGTTAAGTAAGAAAATGCTGTGAAGAACATTTTCCCTTCACTGACCTGTGAAGTGAAACTGAATATCTGTAGAGTTTGATGTGAACTGATAGTTTGATCCCTTTCTGCTTGTTTCACCCAAAATGATGCACTTTTTCATCTAAAGTCGGCATATGCTTAACAGACAAGCTAAATGTTAACATGATGAAATCATTAACCATAAATACTTGCATGCACTGCAAAAACAGAAAATTGCACGGAATATTTTTAGTTCAGTTTCTACTACTGCAAATAACTTAGTACACTTGAAACTAACTCCAGGGTAAGTTTTTAGCAAGCTATAGAGGCTTGTTCTCAGCAAATAATTTCTTTATATTGATGAAAAAGTACTTTAGATTATTTAATTTATAGTAACATATTTCTAAGGTTATAAGTTAATCTGCCAATTGAACTGGTACTTTTTTATTAATATTAAGGGATTATTTTCTTAACATAAGCCTCTGTATCTTGCTAAAAAGTTATTTTTAAGGTAGTTTGTCTTATTTTGAGTGTGCACTACAAACTAGACCAAAATTACTTGGTAAAATTTCGTGTTTTTGCAGGGTGAAGAGTATACTCCACTATGCAGCTCTTCACACATGCACATAAAGACGTTTTGACAGTTACAAAGAAGCAAAGCTTCTGGTTTTATTTCCTGTAAAACTGAAACCACATGGGTGTGATCATGCACATAAAGCCCAATACTTTATCCTCAAAAAATCATAAAGAAAAACACACCATCACCTCCCCCTCTTCCTCTGATGACTAATTTTTCCATTGTTCGGCCTGACAAGAGTTCTCCAGAAAATGTAGGCATTAAAAAAAGAAACTTCTGCTCCTTTACTGCAGCCTTGATGAACTGTGGTTTTTTCTTTCCAGAGTTCGACCCACCGTCTAACCACACACCCTGTGTGATGCAGATGCAGACCCTCACAGCAGCCTTTCTCTTCTCTCTGGAGTCCCAGACAACCATCGGTTATGGTTTCCGATGCATCACGGAGGAATGCCCGGCTGCCATCATCCTCCTCATCCTCCAGCTGGTCATCACCATGCTGATGGAAATCTTCATCACTGGCACCTTTCTGGCCAAGGTCATTCACTGAATAGAGAAATGTGTGATGAAAGGGTGTCCAATCCAATGATCCAAACAGTTGGAACGTGTAGGCCAAAAGTATTCATACCCCCTCTAGTTTTCTACTTTTGGCGACTCTTGGCCCAGTCGAGAATCTTTTCTGTATTTTTCTAAATATGAGTCTTTCAATTAAGTCTGACCAGCTTATATGTCCCTGATAAAGAAAAGGTTTTCAATGTTTTTTAAAGAGATTAGAAGTGAGAGGTTCCTTATGTTACTCTGAATCGTATTTCAAGTGTGAGAAGCACGATAGGAAAAAGCAGCTTGACTCACAGTTTTCCTGAGTGAACTTTGGTCTCATCTGACCAGAGCTGTTTGCTGTGTCTCTCGTTGTTATATGTCTAAAAAAGGTTTGAAAACATGCATCACTTACTTCATATAAACTCTGTCAACTCTCTTGATAATAAGAAAAGGTTCCAGGCATGTAAATATGTTTGCAAGACACGCGAGAATCAACTGAAAACACCTGACAAAAATAAAAACTGAGCTTTTCTCGGTTAGATTGCACGGCCAAAGAAGCGAAGTGAGACGGTGAAGTTCAGCCAGCATGCTGTTGTATCGACGCATGAAGGCCAACCCTGCCTGATGATCCGGGTGGCCAACATGCGCAAGAGTCTTCTTCTCGGATGCCAGGTGGGTGCACATGCTGCATGGACATAAGTAAAAAGACTAATATTTAGATTGCTCATTGTTGGATTTGTGGAATGAATACTTTCAGTTTGCCTTTTTTAACATAGATTTCCATGCATATTTGAGTTTTTTACTGTGCAATTCTTCAAAACGAGAATGAGTGTGCTACTTCATGTAGGTGACAGGGAAACTCCTGCAGACGTCCCTGACAAAGGAAGGTGAGACGGTTCGTATGGACCAGAGGAACGTGCCCTTCCAGGTGGACACTTCCAGCGACAGTCCCTTCCTCATCCTTCCTCTCACCTTCTACCACATCATCGACGATAGCAGCCCCCTGAGAGCCTGGGCCGCCAAGGGTGAGCTTGGTCGAAAAAGCAGTAGTTCGTTGGTATTACTACATGTTTAGGGTGTTTCGTTACGTCTTGAGGCTTTCGAGGGCTGTGCTCTTGAGAAACCCTGGTGCTTAGCAACAAAACCTTTTTTTTCCATTAGCTGTTAAGAAATACAAATGGAGAGGAACATTGCTAGAGTCTGAAAAGCTAAATTCACTGCAGAAGTAGACCAAAATATCAATAGGGCTCCTTGATCACGAGTATGACATTTAAAGTGTCTGCACAGCATAACATTAAGTTCAAGTAATGATGTTTGTTTAATTTCTGAAACATTTGCAATATTGAAGTAGCAGTGAATGAATAAACATTGTTTTTTTTAATGTTCACCAGCCTCCATGTATTGAAAACAACTATACATATTTGATTGCCAAGAACCCAAGAAAAGTTGCCAGTGTTCTGCACATGCAATTTTTATGCAGCGACTGTTTGAGTTTGATTAATTGGTGGCACATGGCTAAATGACTGAATTTTTTACCTTTCAAAAAGAAGAAGTTGGGCAATGAACTTGCAAAAGGGAGGATAAAAATAGTCTTTTTTTGGTGGTTAGTAAACTGTGTGAGTGCAGCAGCCTTAACTTCCTCCCTGTGAGTGCTTTATGCACCTCACTCTTTACTTTCTTTATGTGCAGCACATTTTTGTAGGTTTTTCCATTTATGTGAAAAATAATTTAGGGGAGATCTATCGATACATTTTACTTGCTGGAAGTTTCTAGATTTACTTCAACTTCCATTTTCATTTGGTTTCTTATCCATACATTTCTGAACTCTGTGAACCTTCACAGGATAAGACAAAGCAAACAATAATGCGTGCACAAACTCAGATCTAATTACAGTTTAGGATGGGCCATGGACCTTGCATTTAAGTTCAATGTTTATTGGTCACAATAGAAACATGTTTCCTGTATGATGAAAAGCTTATTTTACTGTCTGTAAAAGTGACACTTAAAAGGGCCAAATATACAAATATAAGTATAAATGTCTTCATGCATTTATACTTATATAAATGGAGGAGTTTGGAACAGCTGGAGAAAATCCCTAACACCCTAAAATCAGGGTTAGCATAGATTCCTTCTTGTCTCTTTACCATCTTCTTAAGCTAACCCTCTAATGTTACTTTATCAGGTGGTGGATGGACAGATCCAGAGTTGGCTGACTTTGAACTCTTGGTGATCATGAGTGCCACAATAGAGCCGACCTCTGCCACCTGCCAGGTCCGCACTTCCTACCTGCCAGACGAGATCCTCTGGGTTACGAGTTCCCCCCCGTCGTCTCTCTCTCCCAGTCTGGCAAATATGTAGCAGACTTTTCCTTCTTTGACAAAGTGGCGAAGACCAAGACGACCCCTGTTTTCAAATCAACCAGTTTGCAACACAAATACCAGAGCAACGGAGGTGGACCCATGTCTGAAGTGACAGACCCGGAGAAGATTCGCCTGGAGCAGAGCTACAGGGAGCAGCGAGGCGAAGACCGAGGCCGAGTCAGAGACGGCCCCATAAGCGTTCGAATCAGCAACGTCTGAACAGCTAAACTGGCTGAAAGTCGGACATTTTGTAGCAAAACAACATGAGAGTTTGTGAAGCCTTTCACACATGTAAGACGATGATTGTTTTAATTTTTTATCAAAATGACTTAAGGCAAAACGTACGGTACGGATTTTTGTAAGGAAATATTTGCTAAAACTGCTGTCATTTATTCTCATCTCGTCACTTCTGATGGAATGTCTAAAAAATCTATGCTAAAAGAGTCAAGTAAGAGAGAAATTCAGTGTAAGTCCAGTATAATTAATCTCAAATTAAACTGAAGGATGTGAAATCTACAGAGTTCTACCTTCACGACAACAGAACATACTTTTTGCCTTGCACACTTAGTGATGATCTGACCGTCCGGGGTTTGAATGCTCAGCACTCCATCGTCTATTAGTGCCTCCAATTTGCTTAAATTGTTTTCAGCTTATTTAATTAGAAAGCAGATCCCTCTCCCCAACCATGTCAGTCACTCCAAACATTCACTCACACAGTGAATCTTTATCAAAGCAGACAGTGTCTGCATGGCATAGGATGAGATTAAGTCATTGTTGCAATTTTTGGAACTGAAACACTTATAACGCATAATGTTTGTAAATTGTTACTATAAGAATTTTTTAAAAAGTTTTTTCCACCTTTTTTAGTGACATTTTTCGAAATGAGCCTAGTAAAACTTAAGAGAGATAGCGCAAAAAATCTGCAACAACCTGGAGTCATCAGTGCTCAACCTTAAACTCTTTGTTGAATCTCTTCTTGATTAATTTCTCGCATTCAGTTTCCTTTGGTAGGAGTTTAATACCCAATTTCTTGACCTAGAAACATTTCCCGTGCCCTCTGTGTTCACAGTCTCACCGATTTATAAAATCGATTAGAACCTAGTTTTGCATGCTGTGCAGTGGTGAAGCTGGTCTTCTGCTGATTTATTTGGATAGTGAAAAAAATATTTCTCTTCAGCTTTCTGTAATAATCTGTAGCTTTAAGTTTTATTTATGTTTCTGTTGCTTCTTTACTTCTACTCTCCTTTTTGCCATCTTAGTTCATCCCTTGTATCAGATCAGCTGTTTCATTGTTTCTGTTTTGGATTCAGTTCTTTCTTTCTGTCAGCTGAAGGTTTTAGATGAAATGTATCAAGCATGAGGAAATGTTCATGACTTTACAGTCTAGTCTAATATCATCTGAGGGAAACGTAACTTTAGAGAATGATTCAGTCACCAGCTTGTTTCACTTTGGTTGCTGTTCATTTGCTGGTTTGTGGTGTTTTTGTGCCAGACTTACCGCCTATAACTGTGACTAAAAGTTCCAGTTTGTTTCTATCAAACCACAATGGGCTTTTAGCCAGAACTTTTCTTTTAAAGGAAAAACATTTATCATGCAGTTCTACCATATGACAAATCCCTGACGTTGCTGTCACATGTGGCCCATAATACTTCTTTTTTTAGCATGTGGCATGACAGATGATTCTTGTACAATCCTCCTGAAAAAATGCTTTTAAGTTTTTGTTGAACATTGTTTAAAAAAGTGGCTAAAGTTTTTGATTAAGGTTATGCACATGTGGGCAGCTTTTTAATTTGATCCATCTTCCTTTTTCAGTCGTGTAAAAGGACATGTTACATCAAAGGTGGAAAGTATTTATCTTGGCCAAATTTTTATATGTCACAAAAATCTGGTATTTTACCAGATTTTTTTTTGTTCACTCTAGTTGAAAACACGTCACTTAAGACAAATGAAGTACAAAGTTTGCAAACTTAGACAGTACATGAAAACAACCGTTTTGTGAATGTAGATAACAAAAGCTGATTTACATAAACACCCATTTATTTATAGTGTCATATAATCGTGTAAAAGCTGAAAGGTCAGAAACTTATTCTGGTCTCTTTCGGTACTTCCCAGAGCACTGAAGCATCACCTTACTCACTCAAAGGTGAGACAGTCTGAATGTGTTTTTTAAAAGGTGAAAAACAGAAGTAAGGGATTAAACATAAAATACCCCCAGTTTCAAAGAAAAACTATTTTTCCCCTCTGCTGTTCAAGTGAATGTTTTATAATTTTCTGCACTTTAAAAGTGCTTAACTAAACCCAAAAGGGAAATTGCTTAAGATGCAAATAGCAACGGTTTGTTGAGCACAGAAGCAGAAAGTCGTATGACTTGAAGTATTTTCTTCTTATATGGAAAGAAAAAATAGCACCCGGCTCAGAAGTCTCTCTCTCAACTTCCTCCTAAGCATCTGATCAGTATTTTAAAATTTCCTGTTGCAGTTTGCAGAGGAAACTGTTCAGAAATTTTTTTCTCCACTTTAGAGTTCCTTATGGTGGATAGTAAACTGCATCTGTTAGTGCTGAATGTAATTATTTTGTTAAACTAGAACATGATATCTGTTTCTGTATCAAATGAATATTGTAGCACTTTATTGAAGTAAATAATGATTATTTGCACCTTCAGTAGATTAGTTGACAATTTGTTACCATTTGTAAAATATTCCACTGTAAGCACTCTGAATTTATATTGACCAACTTCATTACAGCTGCTGTAAATGTAAAAAGATAGTCAGAAACCTGCTGTTTCTTTGTCAACAACGTGCAAATGAACAAACTCCAGTGGATGTAAATACTCATGTAGAGATGCATCTGTGCCTTCAACAGCGAAGAAAGTCTGATTGTTGTAAGATGCAATCACTGCATAAACAATTGTTGGAGTTACTAATTCTGTGAAATGAAAAAAAAAATTCTCCTACACATATAAATATGAAAGTACCTGATCAATAAGGGCTGAGATATAAGAATGTTATATAAAACTAAGGAGGTTGTGACTGATAATAAGGTGTGGTGCATCTTCTTTCAGCTCTTTGAATTTCATATTTAAATTAGGTAATTCTTTAACAACTGGTCTAATAAAGCTTATTGCATTTGGCTCATGTCTTTTGGTTTAATTTAATCACAACTGAGTTCAATTTAATCCAAAACCCAGTGACATTGTAAAAAAACATAATAATTGGCATAAGGATAAAAAAAAGAGCAAATATCTAAATCTCTGATGCATTTCTGAAGAGTATAAGTGTAAGAATAAGTGATGAAATCATTACATTAAAGTATCAATTCAGTTCTGTATTTTCTATAGCAACAATTCACTAAAATGAAGCCAAGATGCAAATTCAAACTGGAAGACTCTGTAGCCCCACCTGTACCAACCAATCGGTGCGTCTCGCTCATCATCGACCTATCAATGCTGGACCAAGCCATATTGTGGCCAATCTCTTCAACATGTTATCCGAAGCCCTCATCTGGATTCTTCTTATCATTAAACTTCCTTCTGTGCTTCATCTTCTTGATGATTTCCTCCTCATTGATCTGCCCTTTCAGCCCCTCCACTCGCTTCAGAAACTGGAAGATCTTTTTAAATGCATCGACGTCCCCCTTCCTAAGGAAAAAACCGCCGGTCCGTCTATAAAGTTAGAATTTCTCGGCATCACCCTGGAGTCAGAGAAGATGTTGGCTTCGTTGCCGACTGACAAATTATCTGTGAGATTTCTCAAGCCCACCTCTCATCTCCTGCTCTTTCCAAACCTCAGCTTTTGTCCCTGCATGGGCATCTTGACTTCCCCTTACGTATAAATCCACAAGGGATTTATTTCCAGGATGCTCGACTTTGCGAATTCGGTCCCTTCTTGTTAGATCAGATTAGATGACGGCTGTCGCTCTGATCTCACTATTTGGTCTAAACTGCTAAACCGCTGGAACGGCATCTCTTTATTTATGATGATATAACCGATTCCATTCGGTTCTATATTTAGAAAATTCCAGAATTTGCACATAACTTTATATTTTTGTTTTTTTGCTCATTTTAAATATTAGATCAGATGTCACAACTTGGGACTCAGTACCAGAGTAGCCATTCCCCCTCCCCCGCAAAAATACTTGTTGGGCCCTTTGTGTCCACTCCACCCACCTGAGTCAACACTCAGAGCTGATCACTGCCAAACTCACAGATTCAAAACATCTCTTAAGTAAAACCTGCAACATGTTTTGCACTAAAACATCTCAAACAGAAAAAAGTCATGATTAGATCAAAATAAATTCAAGAACAGATTAGAAACAGTAACATTTGCAGGGTGATGTTGCAATGATGCTAAGTTCATGATTAAAATGGTCACAATGCTCTTTTCAAAACGATATCAGTGGATGAGCACAAAACCAAACATGTTGTCTGTGTGGGAAAGAGGTATGAGATGTTTACTGGATGTGTTAAGTGGAACTGTGAACATTTTTTATTTGACATCCTCCCCTTTGAATTGAGGAAACTGTGGCTCAGAAATAGATGTTATACTTCCTGATGTCACAGAGTCGACACAAAGCCATGGCAGTGGTAGTTCTACTTTTTCTCATCTCCCTGCTGGATTCAGTTGAAGGTAAAATTTGTTATTTGTTGCAAAACGTGTTTAGCATTTGCTGTGGAAAGCTAACATTTCAATTGACAAAAATGTGGAGCTGTAGAAAGTACATTAGAAGAAATCTGCTGAAGCAAAGTTCAGCTGTCAAGATATATAATTATTGTTAAAAAACGTAATACAAGATTTTTTGTAGAGTTGAGTAAACAACTGTTAGCTTACAGTTAGTAAAATGTGAACGTTTTACAAACAAGGTAAAAAAGTTAAACCAAGATATTTAAATATGCATTTTTTATTATACATTTAGATTTTATGTTGCCGCTGCCATCAATCATAAATGTACATCTGCAACAGATGAATAAATGTGACATTTATGCTGATAAAACTCTGTTGTGAATGAAACATCCTTAGATTGTTGTAGTTTTAATTCAAGCTCCAGCTTGTCTAATACAGCAGTAAATTATTTATGCTTTATAAAATTATTTTTGACTGATCAGTCTATTTATAAGAAAATGACGAAACTCAGCACTGACAATATTTTCTAAGTGGATCAAATTCTTAGAAAACCATTAAATGTTGTTCATAGATGTTTAATTTCTGTTTGGTTATTTTTGGCGGGCTGGTATTGAAGTCTAGTAGCTTTCTGTAGGATTGTTGATGCAGTAATAACAATCGTGTTGCAACGCAAAGACCTTGAGCGCGACTTTTGGAGTTTGCATGTTTTAACTGTGTTGGCTTAGTTTATTTAGATTTATTATTGTCCTTATGCAGCGTTAAAAAGGCTTTAGCAAGCATCCATTGTTGTGTTGGACTGCGGATGATGATTGGGACCCTGCTTTGTCAGCCTCATAGATCTGGTTGAGTTCAGTGAGCCGGGTTTCTTACTGCGCTCTTTGCTGCCTCACAGAGATTTTATGATGTACTTTTCTCTTTTCTTGTGCAGCTGTGTGTTTTGTCCAGGACAAACTTTTGATCACAGTTTCTTCCCTGTGTAAATGATAAATAAATTAATTGATAATAGACTGAAGTAGGACATGATGACACTTGGTTATGTCATGGCTACTTTTGCATCATAATTAGTTGAAACAAAAGAGTGTCAGTTTTTGAGGACCAGGTTCTGAGCGGATTAAAAATAAAAAGCTTGAGCGGAGATGTTTCAGTTTCATCAAAAGAACAATTTAACAGAACAGAAATATCTCAGAATTGACTAAACACAAATTCTTATTATACACATTATCTTGAGGTAGAAAAAGTGTTTCACTTCTCATTTCTTCAGTGCAAATAATCAGACCAACCACAGCAGCTGCATTTTCTTAATCACAGCAGAAGCTGACCTGACAAAAAGGTCCTAAACAAAACATAACAAAATATAAAGACTCATCCACCATCTGTAATCATTAGAATAATTTTGGACTAATAACATTTATCATGTAGCATATAATTAATTTGTCAAGTACCTAACAGGTTCCAACATTTAGTGTAGCTATAAAAGCTGATGAGGAAGTTTGTTAGCAGAGCAGATCTTTTCCGCTTCTGATATTTAGAGACACCCTCTCAACACTGACGGTTAAGTTACTGCATTTATGGTGTTGAATACATTATTTGAAAATAGAAATAGCAGGTGGTACAACTATAAACTTGCCAAGACATGGCAGTTCACCTGAGCTGACAGAACTTTCAAATAGACCATAAATAAGAGAGTCTGCCAACAGGAACATGGTAACCCGAGAAGAGCTGAGGCAGATATTCAGACTGAAAAACAAAATTGAGGAGGAGAAGAAATGTGAAAGTCAGGAGAAGTCTCACTTACAGTTTGCAACAAAGCATTTTGGGACACAACAATATGCTAAAGAAGTTTCTGAATATTTCACCAACATGTAAAATGCTTTATGTAATGGAGAACTAATACAGCACAACACCCTGAACATACCAGGCCCATTATCAGAGTCGGTGGTAGCAGCATCATGCTGTGCTTATCTTTCTCTTCAGTATGAATAGGGAAACTGGATGGAGCTGAAAACAGGGAACAAAACCTCCAAAAGATCTGATACTGGAGGTTCACCCTCCAGCAGAAAAACATTAAACATAAAGAGCTACAATTTATACATCAGTGTTAAAATGACCCATTCCATTTACAGGCCTAAATCTAGTTGGGAGCAGTGGCGGAGCTAGATGTTTTTTCAAGAGGTGGCCAAAGGGTGAGCAAGGCTTTATCAGAGGGGTCCATATACAAATGGACCGTTCCATGGAACAAAAGGAAAAAATATTTGTTTCCTTTCGTTCAAAATTAATATAACTAGTTAGGTTATAATTCAAAGCTTTCATATGACATAGCCTACTTACATTTCAGTCATAAAACTTAATGGTTTTTCTCATATTCTTACCACACACATTTCAAGCAAGAGCTGGGAGATATAAAACATTACAGGGCAGCATGTCACTAAAACATGTTAAAAGAATCTGTCTAAAACACGATCTACCAGCACTAGCATGGCTAATATAATAAACGAGGCACTACGCAGCGGTACACAACCATTTTTATTCTTTTTAGAAATGTATGACAAGTGCCGCCTCTCATTAGGAGGTAACAGCGGTTACCACAGAGCGGTAAAATGTTGTAAATACCTGCAAAACTCCTCAACGGTGTAACTCTAAAGCTGTTGATGTGTTTTGGATCAAGCAGGACCCACATGTCAGTTTAACCAATGAACAGCGTCGGGCATCGGGCTGCCTTCAGGGACAGTCAGAAATTACAGTTTTCCTGGCAAATCTTTGCCGATCTCATAAGTATTATAAGTATTTTAAAATTACCATTTCCAGTGGGGTGGCACTAGGGGTGGCAAGGGCTCTGTTGGGGGTGGCAAGTGCCACCCCGGCCACCCATCTGGCTCCGCCACTTGTTGGGACTAACCACTGCAGAAAACTTAAAAGTTGATGTTTACAGACACTGGAGGAGAGGAAACTGACAAACGACAATAAAATAATTTTGATACGGATCTATTGGGTTGATTATTGAAAGATTTCTTTGGGGAAGGAAAAGTAAATAATAGAAATTTTGTGATTTGTGATAACAGAAGATTATCATGCACTGACAAGAAAGCAAACATTTTATTCACACTGATAGAAGAGGTATTGCTCTATGAATAAAAAAGAGAGAGAAACAAAATCTCTCTTTAAATTGATGAGATTTTAGGACTTATAATTAGAAAAAAGTTTTCACTAAACAACTTATTCAATGAAGTCAATATTATTACTGGTTTTTGATATTGAAGCATTGCATATAAATAAAATAAGGGACTATAGTGAAGAGATCCATACAAATATAATTATATTTGGACATTATATTATATATGCAATGCATATTTAAATAATAAAATGGTTAGATGAATTATGTGTTGATTCTAATTGACCGAACTTTTAGGAACTTAATCTATAAACCTCCTCCACTTTACTGTTGTCAAAGTTTTCTCATGATGTTCCAGAGATTTATTATGATATTATTGTTTTCATTGTTGAAATGTAACTA